AGCACAATAATGACTATTACAACTATTTGTTCATTTTAAAGCATTAGTTAAATACTATATGTTATGATTTTTTTTACTAATTCATGGTTTTTGTTTAGTCTGCATATTACTATGATGTTAAATGACTCATTTTGCGGTTGCTCTAATCACAATATCACTAGAAATGCATTCAAAACATTCAAACATTCATTTGTTTCTCATTTAATCGATAGCTTTCACTCTTAGCTCTAAATCTGGTTTAAAAAGCACTCAAATTGACATTTAATTGCTTTTCAATATTTTATACAATAATTATTTAATACAATATGTTTAGAGTTGTGCCAAAAGCGATGCAATGTATGCCTATATAGAGTGCTTTCAAATGCAATCGTTTTGAATCAAATTAGACAACGAATGGATTAATTGATGTTAAATATAGTTTACGTTCAGATATAATAGTTTTATTAGAATTTATATTGAATAACACAAACACTAGATGTCAGGCCATGTCTTGTATTGATTTTGTTGGAAATACAAAACTGCTAACAGTGGTGGACAGAGTGTGGCATCTATTGAGTGACAAACTCTATAGACTTAGTTTGCACTCAACAGATGTCACACAACGCCCACAAATACCGTATAATTCAATTGTTCAGCAAATGATTTGTTCAAAATGTGTTCAATCTTTATGATTATGATATGAATGAATCTCAAATTGAATCCAAATGACAAGTTATATAAACTTTATAATTAGTTTCTATCAAATTTGTATTATTAATTTGGATGCAATACTTTTTAAGCGGCAATTTATAAGTTTTCACATTATATTAACCATACGTACGAATACAAGTCGCCAGCGATTCTGGAACTGAATTTCAGAGCAATCGGTCGATAAATTGTAATCATTTATTGGTTTAACCTTTTTATTCAAAAACAGTTCAATGGATGCGATAATGCATACAAATAATTCAAATTAAATTAAAAAACGTTTATTTCTTTTTGGTCTCTTTGGTGAGTCCGGCGCCGGCATTGAATTTAAAGAGAATAATGTCTCCGTCATCGACCGTATAGTTCCTTCCCTGTTGTCTGTATTTACCGGCGCTCTGAATATGTGGGCAGAAATGGGATTACAATATGAAATACATACAAATGTATATAAAACAAGTGATGATATACTTTGCAGGCGTTCTCAGAGCCCTCCTCTTTGAAGTCATCGAATTTCATGACTTCAGCCATAATGAAGCCCTTCTCGAAGTCGGTGTGTATACGACCGGCCGCTTGTGGAGCTTTAGTCCCTTTCTGTTGCCATACAATCAAATATTTGTATTTATTTTGTTATTTACATCAAAAGCACATCTAATGGATGACATACTTGTATAGTCCATGCCTTCACCTCGTCTTTGCCACTCGTGAAGAAGTACTACAAAACCATTAATTTAATACAAAATCATGTGTTAATTGAAGCGGTAATGCATTTAATATAACTGTATATATGATTATCACCTGAAGCTGAAGAGCTTTATAACCCGTTGTTATGATTCTATCCAAACAACTGAAATGTAGACAACAATTGAGTGAATGAATGGAAATAAAAGATAAGATTAACAAAAGAAAAGCCAAAATAATGTAATTGAATAAAAAATAAACTCAAAATTATGTGAAAATATCAATATTTAGGAAAACTGAACGTATGTTAACGTCTAATATAATGATATATTTTAAAGTCAGATAATTATACATTTGGTTGAATTTGACTTTTAAAATACAAGTTAACGTAAAAACTCAATACAATTTATAATCAATAAAAACAATTTTAATGATAGCCAACGAAAGTCTGCAAAACTCAAAAATAAAACAAAATCTAGTTTTCGATCGTTTGATTTGTGTTCAAAGAAATGCGAAATAAATAATGAAATTAAATAAAAGCGATAAATAAATTACTTATTTTTGGATCACGTTTTGCGAGTCTAACAAACCATTTGAATCGAAGGAGAGAGAGAGAGACTTATGGCAGGCATTGCCTTATTTGAGAGATTGTATTGCAAAGTATGGGAGAATTGAGAGAGAAATGAGAGAGAGAGAGAGAGAGAGAGAGAGCGTTAAAAAAGTTTGAATGCATTTATGTTGAGAAAAATCTATTTAAACTCGAACTGAAACTAAGCCTTAATTATAGGGTAAGCGTTGAGTAGAGGAGCGAAAGAGCAGTAAATCACTGGTCCGTCAGTACTGTCAGTGCCGTCGATGGCGTCATTCGCGGAAATTGTGGCAAAAGAATTGCATCCAATCTCTCAAATAAGGCAATGCCTGCCATAAGGCTCTCTCTCATCACCAGAAGCTACGGAACTCTTTCTTTGATTCGGAGACCACTTATCAGAGATTTCACATCTGAGAGAACACTGACTTCTCTTTCGTTTCTCCAAATGTTTTGTTCCTTTAATTACTGCAAACAGTGAAGCGTCGGAGCGGTCAAGAGGTGATGATTATAGAGTTAATCACAAAAAGCAGTTCCGCTATAATTATTGATAAAACATTTATTCTTTATTGAGAGGGATGTCAGCGAAGGCAGTGATGGAAAGCATCCCAAACACATGCCGACGCCTTATCGCATGTGCTTCTCTTCTTCACCCTTTCTTTGGCAACAATTATTGTAAAAATTTTTATATTTCAAAACATATGTCTAATAAAGTCTGCATTTTTCCCGAAGTTATTTCATTGAAATCTAGAATATTATCGTATTTTAAATCAAATTTGAAGCCTATTTGTGAAAATAAAGTCAAACCAACAAACAATATAAATGACGAGAATCATGAAAAGCAATGGTATTTGGTTTGTAACACAATTATTGATGCCATTGAATGACAGGCGTCTCTAATGGAGTTAAAGTCGGGATAATAGAGAGATTAGTCGTCATCTCTTGTCAGCGCTTAATCTCTTGGACTAACAGTGAGTCCGAGTAAAAGAGATTCAATGCATTCGCAAAATCGTAACATTCATATCAACGATACAGTGATTTTCGACGGTATTATGAATGAAACCAAAAGATTAAACCATTATTTTCAACACTTTGTAACAAAAACATAAAGTATAATAGGCTTTGAGCTTAACTTTCATTGTATGGTATTTTTAAAGTCATGAGTAGAGCCCAGTATTGCTTCAAATCAATAATTTGGTAAAATTATAGAGAATTATGAGAACACATGTTATGTAAATAACTGAAGGGAACGGAACCGAACCCATACTTCTCATCGGAATATAAGCTCAAAATTAATATATTATTGTATTCAATAGACTCTACGATATATACAGTAGTGTACATAAAAGTGGTGTCAATTGCTAACCAAATATAGAGACAGTTTCGAGATTTGATTTCATAGTTTATTTAAAGTCTATTAAATGAGTGAATCGTAAATGTGTTTTCTTTCGTCCTTACCTTTGAGTCTTGTTTTCTTCTAGAAATCGTTGTCTGTCTTCAGCGCTCATAGGAATCAATTTGTTCTCAAGAATCCCACTGAACGGTATGACAGCAGCGCCCGCATCGTTGGCATCAATCCATTCCTTCATTTTGATGAGCCTTTGCAATCATTTATAAGAAAATGCCATTAATTGGGAACCGATAGAACATTGTCTGACACATTGATAGGATGTGAGGTCAGGGCTCTGTGACACTCATTAAAACTTATTATTTGGAAACACGACTCCGAATCAAATTATATGTCAAACAATATATGGCTTCAAATAACATAATTTGTTTGCTTCTAAATACCCAAAGGATTTCTCCAATGACTGAAAACATTAATTCATTAGTGTTTGCAATCAATGCCCAAATGAGAGGCACAACACAGATGTTCCCCTCAGACCCTTATATAAGAGTTAATAGCCTTAAAGGGGTTAATATAATAATATGGTTCAAAATAAAATGCATTAATAACTGACCACTTGTTCTTTTTGCGGATGTAATCCTTTTCTGATAGGTTTATCAAATAAATCATTGGCTTTGATGTCAAAAACAAGTGTTTGTTTAAGATTTCAATCTAACAATAGTTGGAGAATAAAGACGTTGAATAAGAATTGACAACAAGAAAGCACTGAATGTATACCTCAGCCAAATTCCAATCCCCAAACCTGATGTGTTTCTTCTCGTCCACTAATAATTGCTTGATTTTCATTAAAATGTCCTAAAAGTGCAGTTTTCATAAACATGTAAAAGTCGTATATATTGTGTCCAATGGTTCAAATGTCTCACGTATTCGGCCTTTTCTTTCTTTTCGCCTCTGAGAACAGTCTTTGCGAGTTTGTCGACGACAGCCGTCAGCTGTTCCTCGTCTTTAAGTCTGAGCTCTTCGTTTATAATCTCAATATCTCTGACAGGATTCACGTCTCCCTCCACGTGAATCACGTTGTCGTCTTCAAAGGCCCCTAAACCACAACAACACATAAAACTTGTGTTTACAACTAAAAACTGTTAAGTGTTTGTTTGGTTTGATTTATATCTTGTTTTAGTGTCAAAAGTTGTCAAAACATTGAGTCTTTCAAATCCATAAATAGTTAAGTAATAAATAAATAACAATTAAAAACATGTGAATTAGTGCTTCTTTAGAGCAAAGATATAAAGCAAAGGATAAGAATTTAAAATTTTGTTGCCATTTAATAAAGTAAAGTACAGTCGGATATAAATGTATAGAGAATACAATATTCTGCACAACAATCCAAATCCAATACACCCTCTCTTGCCTTCAAGCCTTAATTTGACAGAACCTATAATTTTGTGAACAGACAGTAAGAGATGGATGACATTGGAGTTGGAGTGCATCGCATCATAACATAGGGAGAGGGAGAGAGGAGTGAGAGATCATTTGTTATAATAATCAGGGTTTCGTTGGTTTGCTTTTTGGAGAATATACTGTATAAGTGATAAGAACTGGTGGTATGGTATACATGGTATATATGGGTCGGCCGTTCAAAAGTTTTATGGCTATAACTACTAAAACGTGTATTACTTTTTTTGGTTTGCTATCGCTTTCTACGAATAACTTTAATTTTTCAAAAGAAATATTATTTTTATAAAGTTTTTTCAAATATGAACCAAAGTTTCATTTTTCTTGCGGTATATTATGTATCCTTCGCCTCCACTCCACCCATATTTGCATTTTTCATTTAAACTTTTCAGACATAATAGACATTATTTTTAAACATTGATTGACTAGAAATTGAAGCATAGATTTATGTGAGAGTCGGGGAGAAACTAAAAATTTATTAAGAAGCAGCTACTGATCTCTCTCTCTCTCTCTCTCTCCCTATGTTATGATGCGATGCACTCCAACTCCAATGTCATCCATCTCTTACTGTCTGTTCACAAAATTATAGGTTCTGTCAAATTAAGTTTTTTAACGCTCTCTCTCTCTCTCTAAATGAGGCAAAACTTGTAACAAGCTTAAAATAAAGAAAAAGTTAGTGTTTTATAAGAGTGCACAATATATTCGGTTAATTATAAAATAAATCTCAAGAACCTGTCGAACCCCCAGAGCGAGAGGTGTTTCAGTTCATCCCAAACTCTAATATCAATGATATTTTAGCGAATATTTCAGTCAATATTGACTGTTATAGCCGTGTCTTTAACTCAACAACAAAGAAGAAAAAAGCAAAACTAATATCCGAAGTGAATACTGATGTGAGACATAACTCTCAGAGTATACACAATGTTAATAATGCATTAGAATTACTCTTTTGGAACTAAATATTAATAATCATCTAAAATATATTTATTACTTTAAAGTGTAATATAATAACAATTAATAATATTTAACAAATTGTGTGAATAGAAAGGGTTTGAAGACTTACTGCAGAGATGAAAGATCGCATCGCAAGCCTTGATGTGTGATAAGAAGGCATTTCCGAGTCCCTGGCCTTCACTCGCGCCCTTAACGAGTCCCGCGATGTCCACAACATTGAGAAATGCGGGCACTTTGCTGTCAATGCAATACAATTACACAATACGTGTTGTAATTATTATTATATTTATGTATAAATAAGATAAAGACTTAAACTTAAAGGTAGCGAACAATGTGTAGGAAAAGGAGGGATTACTCGCCTTAGAGTCCCTCGAATCGAGATTTGAATTATAGAGAAAATTGTTAGTCATTTGAGAGGAGATAACTTCAAAATTCTTATTATGAAATGTAATTTAAGTGAAACGAGTCTATCATTTATTAAACGCCAAAGAATTTTAAACGTTTTGTTAGTCGAGAAGCAAAACAAACCATTCGTTTTGCGCCGAACCCTAAAACCCAAACCCAAAGTCAAAGTCAGAGGTTTTGAGTGTTTTGTTGGCAAAAGAGAGAGAAAGAGGATGAGACGAGTCTACAGTATCTCATAATAAATAATTATTTGACACTCTTTTCTGGCCAAACACTAAACACTGGATCCATTTGAAGGCAGATTTGTTTCACTGGTAATTAAAGTCTTCTATTTCTGACACATTTTAACAATTAGTCGTTGCCTTCAAAACACTCATCACAACAAACAAAGTCTATAACTAATTAATCAATTCATTTCTCTAATCATAAATATCTAATGAAAATTCTGGCAGAAAATAAATTGCTTTTTTCAAATCAATGCCATTTTTCTCATATTTCTCATATAATGGACGAATAAAAAGTTTATAAAGAAATTAAATTTCTGCAACAAAATTATAGTTTACTTTTTAATTAAATATTAATAATATTTTATGCATTTAATAATATATATGATTATAATTGGAGGCGAGAGACTGAGAACACGATCTCTAGAGAGAGAGAGAGAGAGAGAGAGAGAGAGAGAGAGAGAGAGAGAGAGAACTCGTCTCATCTTAAGGGTGACCAGTCTTTCAACGCATTCAGAAAATTATATTTCTTTTCCTATCATTTATGGCACGAATTCGTCCAAAAATAATAGTTATAAACCAAATAATCATTGACTACAACACCAAGTGATCATTTTCACACTTTTCATCTGTACTTATGTACACATATCTAATATTTTGTAAACATAAAAAGTTTTAAATCAACGATACATTAAACGTGTTTTTCCTAAATTGAATTCAGTTTTGAATTAATGTAAAATTGAGAAAAAACACATTTTAATTAGTCTGCAGGCAATAAGTGATCTAATCTTAGGCCCTCTTTCTATGTAATGCCAAACAAATGCAGTATTTTTACAGTTTTACCAATAAATTTGTAGACTATTTTAATGAGATTTAGTCTAATATATTGTAAATTGTATTCTAGAGAGAGAGAGAGAGAGAGAGAGAGAGAGAGAGAGAGAGAGAGAGAGAACTCGTCTCATCTTAAGGGTGACCAGTCTTTCAACGCATTCAGAAAATTATATTTCTTTTCCTATCATTTATGGCACGAATTCGTCCAAAAATAATAGTTATAAACCAAATAATCATTGACTACAACACCAAGTGATCATTTTCACACTTTTCATCTGTACTTATGTACACATATCTAATATTTTGTAAACATAAAAAGTTTTAAATCAACGATACATTAAACGTGTTTTTCCTAAATTGAATTCAGTTTTGAATTAATGTAAAATTGAGAAAAAACACATTTTAATTAGTCTGCAGGCAATAAGTGATCTAATCTTAGGCCCTCTTTCTATGTAATGCCAAACAAATGCAGTATTTTTACAGTTTTACCAATAAATTTGTAGACTATTTTAATGAGATTTAGTCTAATATATTGTAAATTGTATTCGAGAGAGAGAGAGAGAGAGAGAGAGAGAGAGAGAGAATGATGTATTGGATGGTTTAGGAGATCTGATGTGAGATATTCTATGTTTTTATGGCCATACAAATAGAGTCAATGTTAGCCGTCATCGAAAGCATGATTTATTATTCACAAACTAACTATTGATCACTTCTCTGGCACTTCTATGGTACTCTCCTATTTGTTACACATTTTATGATAGTTTTTGTTTTTTGCGATCTTTTCTATAAATTCATATAAACTATCGTTTATATAATAATAAGTGGACTATAAAATGACTTTTTGCAAAGCAATACAAAAAAGTGTGAATAACTCTATTGGAACACAATTACAATTAAATTTAATTGCAATGTTTAGTTATATTACTAAATAGATTAATGAATCGATTGTCGTTATAATTTTGGTCAAAGTTCTCCTCATTAGTTAGAATGATATAAATTAAAATCATAATAGCATTGCATTTAGTGTCGAAATAAACTTATATAAAATCACGAAAAGATTTATTATAAAACTTTAATTATTAATAATTAAAACAAAATTAGATTTAAATGAAATGAATGTTTGTTTATTGGCATTGAAGTCAGTGGTGCTCATCGTTGTGTTCATAATTGAATTTAAATGAATGTTCACTCCTTTAATATACTACTAATAAAACAGATAATTAATGTCTTGAGAGACTCGCTATTAAACTCTTCTATAAATTGAATGTTAAAACAAATTCTTATTAAAAAGAGACTTTATTTCACAAAATAAATATACGTTAAAACCGTCAAAATAAATATGTTTTGAAATATTTGTTGTAAAAAAGCAAAATAAGGATCACATTCATCACTGTCTGGGAGCTATTTATGTGCACATACTGTAGGTATAGGTGACAGCCTTTAATTACATCCTATACTCTCTATAAGTTATAGATGTTTTGCAATTAATTTACGAATAACTTTAAGTATCAGTTTTCTCCACTTTTTGTTGGCTTATGTTTGGAGAGTAAGAGAGAGTCAGGTATTAATGGTAATAGTATTGGTGTGAGTGGTATGAGTGCCGGAGAAGAGCTCTTTAAATAGTCGACACGATTACAACAAACAGCTTATAAATCATTAAAGTTTTTTTAGATCTTTTGTTTTAATTGCAAACAAACTCTTGTAAACACTGAAAGAATCGCAAATCACGACTAAAGAAAGCGAATCACGACTCAAACAACAGCTGCGAACCCGCGATAACTATTCACTCAAATTACTGCAAATTACAAGTAATTTTCGTGTAATTTATATTAAGTTTGATATTCACTTAATTATGCTTTCAATTAAATATTAATAAAATATATATTAAAAATATCAAACTGTAATGTGGATCATGGTAGTATTAATGTCATTTATTTATGCAATTAAATGTAAACAAAATAACTAATTATGTACATCTATTATAAAATTAAATATAATGTAATGTTCACTATTAAGTGGTAAATATTTGGTAACTTACAGCCCTTACAGCCCTTACAGACATACTTGTGAACCAATACAACACAAATTCTTGCTCTATCATTGACACTGAAGAGCAGAGCAGTGTCTGGCAAACGCTAAACAACACAATTCTTATCAATACATTATTGTATTGGCATTTATAATAAGTGCTATTCTGTTGAGTCAATTAGACATTTATGTAATCTTTTGTTCGCTTTTTCTAATCAAGTCTTCAATTATAAATACAATACATGGATATAAAAGATGAACAATTGATTGTTTCATACAATACCTGAGCGGCTCATAGTATTTGCAGAGGTAATCAAATCGTGAATCCGGTACTGCAACTCGACGTACCTAAATGTCATCAATAGGCTATTAAATCTCCCGTACTATCAATTTTGGTTATAGAATATTTATTAATTATAAATAATAATATTCTAGATTTTAATAGTTATTCAATAGAAAATATTTGAAGCAATGCATCAATTTTAAAAACCCTTATTTTTAATCATTTATAAGTAAGTAAAATTCGTAAGTAATATAAGACCATAAACTGTAATGATTTTAATTGGTTTTCTATTTTCAGTTTTCTAAATGGTTTGGTTTTTTGGAAATACATTTCAAATGATTTAATGTTTAGTACTTTTAGTTTCAAATGCAAGTGAAATATAATAGTAAGCATTCAATAAGTGAATAAGTGTTGAGTTATTGTGAATATTAACATATTTTTTATAATCTCAAGGAAATCGCCTCTAATTTTCTTCCAATTATTACATTAATGTTAAAAATAAAAAACATTTTAAAGAATAATTAAATTCAAAATTATATAAAATAGAGAGAGAGAGAGAGAGAGAGAGAGAGAACAAATATATTCTTGCCATAAAAGTAATGCAAACACAAAACTGTAAGCTTTTTATCATTTCATAACTTTTGCAAAGTCTAGTATTCAAGACAATTATTAGAGTAATAAATTCCAACAAATATTCCCATTCCTTATAATATGGAGAAAAGGCATCAATTCTATGGGAATATTGCCGAACACTCCCAGTATATTAGGAATTGTGCCGCT